GCGAAACTACACTAATGTAATTTTTACGTTGATTGAATGTCACGATATTTGACCACCATGATATTCAATTATTTTTGTGTAATTACTCCACTAGTTTGTTACAATTATTAATGCAAAGATCGAACACTAACTGTCTGTCTTTTTTGAAGCCAGAGTAAAATGACAATTACAGGGTCGCCAGTTTTCATAAAATTTTAAATAGTCATGTAGTTGTTGTCGACAGTTTTATCGATAGATTGTAAAAGAAGAAAAAAAATTGCCAAAAATGACTGAATTGTGAATGTTATGACATTTCAATGACTACTAATTGCGTTATTGCCATCTTTATTCTTATTTTGACAGTTGGCCTACTAGTACCGAAATAAATTGGTGAAATTACAGACACATAGGACTTGTCGACTTATGTCTCAAGGTGTCGGGCGCAGTGGCAGCGCCTCTCAGATCTTTGTGATTTAAAAGTCTGAGTGACACTGCAACTGTTAGAGACAGGGGTGACGAGAGGCACACGACTTGTTCGTCCTTTCACTTAGTATTATAAAAAAAAATATATTCATGCTTTAACAAGAAAAGCTTTAGAATACGCCCCCTCTTTGTATTTTTCATAGACATCGTTCCAATTACATGTATTAACTATAAATAAATAAATAAATAAATAAATAACGCACACACTCAACATAGCCCCGCACTAGGGAAACCCTGTGTCGCGGGTGCCATGGACACACATATAGACAGCCACAAATTGCACCCAAACTCACGAGAGAAATAAATGTAGGCCATACAAACATTTCTCCCGGCCCGGGAATCGAACCTGGGACCTCTGCGTGGCAGTCCGGCATGGTAACCGTTCGGCCACGGAGGCAGTAAATTGATATAAAAAAAAAATTGATATTTAAAATGTACCTGTGCTCAGTAATTAGACGAATAATAGACCGAGAACTATTTTTCGGCTATTTATTCCATAAGCGTGACCAATGTATATTCAGTAATCACTAGCGGGCAACACTTTCGCGAAATGAACCATTTGACTTCGTCTTCAAAAAAGACATACTATAAAAAAAGTCCTTTGATCCGACTGACTCTAATGTCTTGAACAGTCACTGCAGAGGTACAAAATAATCTGTGCGAGTGTGAAACCTCTCCACAAGTTACGGTGCATCTGATTTCCTGCTCCTCGTGTCCCGACACCAGCATACTTGATTTTTCAACGCCATGGTAAACAGACCTTGCGGTGCCGCGTTGAAAAATATTTTAAATAAAGAGAACGTCTTTATTATTTAAGACTGTTTTACGTTAAATACGTAGATCTTCTGAAATTGTAATTCCAGATAAATATAGCTTTTCTGCCTTCTCCAAACCGTCAGTCAGTCAGTCTTTCGACTGATCAATCACTACAAATCTCTTTTGAAGGCTTTTAAGATGCAGTTGATTATTTGATAAAGAATTAAATCGAGTTGATATAGATACATAGATAAACACTATTGACTAATATGACACAAATACCGATTAAACACAGAAATAAAAACAATATTATTGTCATAGCAGTCAAAGGTCGCTGACTCTGCATATCGATGCCTTACTTTCTCAAACTCAGATAAAGAGTGATTATTCAGGCATTGACAAAACTTTGTATTTATTTAAAATTTCTTATCAAGAGTTGTTAATTTAGACGCATTACTTTAAGAATAAGTAAAACCTAGTGTGTGAATATAAGGCAAATGTGATATGAAATCAGCCTGCCATGTTTTGCATTTCAGTAACTTTGTGCTTTAAGATACGATACGAGTTTGAGAAAGTAAGGCGACGATATGCCAAAATTTCCTAAGGCACTGGTTGGTGGTAGATGTAAAGAATCTTCAATGTGACATACCTCCTTGTTATGCAAATCTGGATTTGTATAAAAGCAGAATATTACATCCGAGAAAGTTTCATGAGAATTATTCGAAAAGCTTAATGCACAAACTTCGCCTTTAGCAAACAGTTGAAACAGAGCTCGATCCTTAGGGCACGGGCATACCATCGGAATGTTGTTTTTTGGTAAATTTATATAACAGACGGAGGAACAAAATCATAAAATCAGTTTATGAATGTCAACTAAACAGCAACACTTTCCTTAAATACGGCCGTAACTTGTCTCATAGTCAATAATAAACTGACATAATTAAAAAGCAAAATTTTTGGGAAAATGACAAAACAAAGTAAAAAGAAATAACGTGCGAAATAAGACTAATGTATCTTTATTCATATCAAATACAATTTTGTCATATTTGGCATCAGTCTAAAGGCACGTGTGACTGTCACTGCCGGTGCTACTTTAGGTTTTTTTAAATCTGTTTTCTCAGTTCCCAGAAAAAGTTTATTCACTTTATTATTTTGAAAGTGCTATCTAATAAAGACGTTGCAAGAAGGTTTTGGAACATTTTAAACAGCAAAAATAGTATCTATTCAACTTATTACTTGTATTTCGTCTAATTTAAAACAACAATGCGCCCTTTTACGAATCTGACTCAAAAGCTTGATATAGTCTTATATGGTCATAGTCATACCATTTATTGCATTAAGTTATACAGAAAATTGTGTTCAAGTTATTACATGATCCAATATAAACCCTGTAAGGGCACTGCGACTTTACTTACTTTACTAAAGTACATTATCTATTTTCGTTATCTATTTGTCATTATCTATTTATATATTATCGTTTTATAATAAAAAAACTCCCGTAAATTATAAATACAGTTCGATAGTAAGAATCTTCAATTTATTTGTAGACATAGTGTTCCTTTTCTACATTTTTTTATTGTGAGAGGCATTTTATCGTAAAATTATATTGTACGAAAACAATTTTATTAAATCTTATAATCTGCTGCTTATTACCCATTTTTCCGCGATACCCTTACAAAGGGGATAAACATGTAGTTTTCTTTCGAAACGATAGTGCGGTGGCGCCTCCTTTACCATTCATAAAACTGTTAGCGCAGTTCATGGAAGACACTTCTTCCGCAGCTATAAATTTCATTGTTTACAGGTACTTCGCTAACTGGCGAACTTTTAAGACGTATATTCTACAAATCTTAAGTTTCATATTAAAATTATTACTCGTATTTTTACTTTATTAGGTATTTACTTAGAGTTTTTTTTTTGTATGTTTTCGCAAGTATTGCACTTGTACGATATTTAGACTTCACAAAATTCACTCATGAATTGTGAAAAAAATAGAAAGATTTTGTGAGTTTTGAAGCAAAATGCGTAAGGTTTTTTTCGGTCTTACTGCATGGATATATGCATAGCCTAAGGTGTGGTGAATCCATTAGATGTGTGTATGAACTTGTATTAGTTTAAGTATGTTATGCTTTACATTGTCTAAGCAAAGTTTGACAATGTAAAGCATAACATTGTACAGTGTTAATAAATGAATGTTTGCGCAAATTAGGTAAATACAATTAGCTTCAAAAACACTTCGGTAAAGCAGGTCCTTAACAGTACATAACAATATAATAATGATATTAATTCAGTAAATGTACATCATTACAATGCTAAACTTAATAACTTAAATACAAATTAATGTTTTTTCATACAATATGATGGTAAGCTGCACCCTTGTCCATAGCAGTTGCAGTGCCACTCAGAGATTTGAATCGCAAAATCTGAGGAGTACTGCCACTATGCCCGTTACTCTGAGACATAAGTTGACAAGTTCCATGTGCTTGTAATTACACCAGCGCTCTTAGCCTTCAAAACCGAAACACAGTAATGCTGACAAAACCGCTTGGCGGCAGAAATAGGTAAGGTGGCAGTACTACACTGGACGAACTCTTTCACAAGGAACTCTACGGCAAAATGTACTCTTTTAAAGACTTAATGAAACCACTACAGTCGAAGTAGTAAGTCCTGTATCTCAACATACAGTGCCATGAAAATGACCTTGACAATGTGACCTCGGTGGCCTGACGGTTTATATTATGGGCGCTGGATGCGGGGTCCCGGTAGGACCAATTTGGAAAATGAAATTTTGTAAATTAATTATAATCTGAGTGTTCTAGGAAGTGCGAAATATTATTTGCATCGATTCGTCTTATCACTTCATCTTTAGAGTACAATAGAACAAAAGAGTGAACTGTCTCGGTAACGCACGTGCCGCCTGTACAGTGCAACATATACTGTAGAAGTGTTTACTTTGCGTTATAACCTGTGCTAACAATTCGCAGAGTTCCGTAAACTTGAAGTTCAGTCCAATTTCGTTTTGTACGTTATGGTCGTGTCAATTATCTCGCACAAAAACTCGAAAATCATATAAAAATGCCTTATTTCGCTACTTTGGAGTGCAAAAATCATAGTTGCGCTTGTAATATAATCTATGGTGGTGTGTCATATGGTCATTAAGTCTTATTTTATGGAATTTTAATAAATTTTCCATTTTTTGTTTATCATAATCATTTTTTGTTACAAGAAACGAAAATATATTTTATACCGCTGAAATATGGTCGCTTCTGTTTTGGAGAACTAAATAAACATCTCGAATTCGTCGTCGTTCAACTATAACTGCTAGATGGCAGCACATTGACTGAAATTTCAATATAGAATCAACACGTCGTAACTTGCGTAAATAGGCAACTAACGGAAAATAGGTATTCATGATATTGAACTTTGAACTATATACCAACAGGGTAAAGTTTAAATTACATTAGCAGTCCAGAATTTGTTATTTCTTTTTAAATTTAAAACTCTGACCAATCATTATCAAGACTTCATAGTATTTCAAATGATGAATGTGTGTTTTGGCGACAGTGGTTTTGATAGTAATCGAGGCTTACGGCACTTCCATTGTTTTTTTCTTTCGTGTTACGAGCCATTTGAAGAAGGAAAGTGATTAATATTTAAATTAGTTCTTACATTCTTCATTTTATGTAATTGAACTATTACTAATTTCGGAAACGAAAAGAATAATTTGTGCTCGAACTGAAAACAAAATCATACACATAACATATGCCTTTTGTTTGTTGCAGAACAACAAACACGTGGGAGCGTTGGACGATGGGCAGCTGCGAGCGCTGCTCGACGAAGCCATCACGTACAAGTGCCCCAAGGACCGGGAAGGCAAAAGCAATCTTTTTAAGGTAACGGGTAACGGACACTATATTTCAAGTACACAGTTTCAATCGTGTGTTGTTGGTATTGTATGATTACACACGCTGGCACATTTAACGGAACAAAACAGTGAAAATGTAAAATAGTGACGTTTATATTGAATCTAGTTTCAATATAAAGTATTTCTTGACTGCCTTCGTGGCCGAAAGGGTATGCCGGACTGCCACGCAAAGGTCCCAGGTCCGATTCCCGGGCCGGGAGAAATATTTGTATGGCCTACATTTATTTCTCCCATGAGTTTGGGTGTAATTTGTGGTTGTCTATGTTTGTGTCTCCATAGCACCCGCGACACAGGGATTCCCTAGTGCGGGGCTATGTTGAGTGTGTGCGTTATTATTATTATTATTATTATTATTTCGAGTAACCTACGGTACTGCTTACTTGCGAAATTATTGGTCCTCCATACTAACTTTCGTACCCTATCGTCGCCTTACTTTCTCAGACTCCTAGCATATAGCACAAAGTTACTGAAGTACAAAAAATGTATCGAATATATACAAATTTTGTAGACTGATTTCACATCACATTTCTTTCATATTCACACACTGGCTAAACCCTATTCTTAAAGTAATGCATCCAAACCCTTGATAAGATATTAAAAAAAAATAAAGTTTTGCCATCTCCCGAATAATCACTCTTTATAAGATAGGAGTTTGAGAAAGTAAGGTATCACTATGCCCTTCTCTTAGGTAGGTATTCACCAAATATGATTCAGCGGTTTAGGCGTGAAAACGTGACAGATAGAGTTACTTTCGCATTGGTTAATAGTTTGGGTAAATAAGAATCAGACATAAAATTATAATTAAATTAACATAACTCAATTAAAATAATTTTTATTATCGACTTAGATTTTGTGACAAAGCAGAAACGGCTGAAATTTAAACGTTGTAACGGTTTAACATTAGTTAAATCAAATAAAAACTTTTTCAACTGAAGTTAACGAAATTTACAATAACAACAAACCGGCATTATAAAGAAATTTAAAAAAATGATAAGAATTACTATCACCTAATTTTAAAATTTCAAATTAAGACTTAAAAATAATAATAATAGTCAGCCCGATTTCTTTTTAAATTGCATTGTGTTGGGGATTTCACTAGCAGGGGCCTTACCATGAACTCTTATTACGATTCCGTTTAGGACCTAAAATAAATCGTTGTGAGACAGCGCTATATGAAGTGTATATCACCATCCCGCTTTTTTGTCGTTACAAACCTGTATTGAATTGTAATAAGAGTTCATGGTAAGGCCCCAGTTCCAATAAATGTGTAGGTGGTGTGTATTTGTAAGTTGTATTACATTTATATGTTGAACTACAAAAGAACGAATCATCAGTTAAGCTTACGATGTCATACGGGACGTGGATCTGACTTGACCTCAAACTTGCAGAATTTCTCTTTTCATTTTATAAAAAAATGTTGCGAACTTCTGGGAGATTCTAACATTATAATTATTTTTAAATTTCATTTAAATATCACGTTTTAAATATCATCGTGATATTTAGCTTAAATATCACGGCTTACGTCTGTCCATAATCCACCTGATGGACGACGAAGATGAGACGAGTCAAGTAGATACTTGTACTTCCAACTAAATATGTTCTTTGTTTGGAAATTGACTTAAAATATAGAAATACAGCGACTGCCTATCGATGTTGGCGATTGTGGCAAATTCTTCTTTTTAAAGAGACCATTGAAGACTATTCATAATAACAGGTTAATATATGGCCATGGACGTCTTTGTTTGCAGTTAGTTGAAAGTTGCATTTAGTTAGGGTGATTTGACACACAGCGTAGAAAATTCAAAATAAACACATGTTGTAGATAGAAAACACAAGTTCGATGCGCCGAAAGTAAACCTCAGCACAAATAATATCTTGAACGTAAACCTAAGTAAGTTTCATATATATGTTGAATTATAATTTTACAGGAATTACTACAAGAGGTAGAACTTCGGGACGAGCAAGACGAGCAAGCCAGCGAAGAGGCAGCGCGTGGTCTCAGCGGGGGCAGACGGGGGCGCGCAACACAGGGCCGTGCCCGGCGAGCTCTCCCCCACTCCAACTCCCTCCAAGACCTAGTAGCCGCGGCCCTGGCGGCCGAGCCCGCTCCGCGTCACGGCCGTAATAGGCACCATCACAACTCCTCGCACCATCATTCGTCGCACCACCACCCGCCGCCTGTGTCAGCTAGAGCTATCCATGGCGGTAGCTTGCCCTCTGGAGTCGATACATGTATGTATTAAATGTGTATTTTTTTATGATATCAAATTACGGGACCAATGAGTCGCCTGGTGGTAGAGTTTTAAGTTGCAAAGACCTGACAGGCACTACCATTGCGTCCGTCACCCTGAAGTATAAAGTTGACAAATCCAACGTACCTGTAGTTTCACTAGCATCTTAACGCGGAAATGTTTACGTTACTGCTTGCCGATAGAAATATGTATCGTGGCAGTACCTCCCTGGGCGAGCACTTACAAGGAGCTTTATTAAACACTTTTTCTTCTCCATTTGAGTGTTTTTTTTTTCAAGGTATGTTACGCGATAACTCCAATTTGTGGACCGATTTCGATATTCTTTTTTGTTGGAAAGAATGTACCTCTGTAGTGGTCCCATTTAAATTTGAAGAAAATATTCCACCTCTAAGGGTGGAAAACTAGATGATAATCAGGTTTCGCGCACTTTCCGGTAACCAATTTCAAGAAAACTTGGCAAGGAGATGTAATTGCACGAAATTTTCAGATCGGTTTTTTTTAGTACTGTGTTCTGAGATTATAATGATAGGGAGTTTATCCTGCTTTGCATTTTGGTAATGATATTTGAAAAGTTCGATGACACGAGCTGCATTACTGCCTCCGTGGCCGAACGGTTACCATGCCGGACTGCCACGCAGAGGTCCCAGGTTCGATTCCCGGGCCGGGAGAAATGTTTGTGTGGCTTACATTTATTTCTCTCGTGAGTTTGGGTGTAATTTGTGGTTGTCTATGTTTGTGTCCATGGCACCCGCGACACAGGGTTACCCTAGTGCGGGGCTATGTTGACTGTATGCGTTATTATTATTACTGTAAAGTGCCAAGCGAACGGAAAGCCACAACCACAGTTATTACAACACCTTTTCCCTTTTCGATGCTGTTCGTGACCTAGCGGTTAGCACTGCGGGCGTTAGATACAGAGGTTCCGGGTTCGATTTCCGATAAGACCAATTTGTCAAACGAACTTTTCTAAGTTGTTTTTGGTCTGGGTGTACTGGGTAGAACCCCGGATTGGATTACTTAATTCTCGTTGCTTTAGTGTTTATAGTATAGGAAATTCCTTAGTTTGAGTCCAGGTAAATACACCTAATTACCTGGACTCAAACTAAGGAATTTCCTGTAATGTAATTGATATGTAAAGAAATTAATAATAATTTATTCATATTAAAGACATATTTTAAATATACGACAAGAACTTGAATCATTGTAATTCAAGATTTTCAAAATCCTCCTGCTTTTTTTGTAAGACACATTAGACGATACATTTTGAATATACACCTGAAGAACGTTTTTAGTGATTATCTGCAATTTACTGCTGTGAAATCATTTAAAAAAAGGGCAAAATCTTTTCGCAAAACACGAGTTCCATTTAAAAAAACTAAAGTATTAATTTTAATTAAATATTCGGGTTGACCTTCAATTCACAAAATATATTCACAACTTATTTATTGCAACGGTAAAGAATTTAGATATAGGCATTATTTAATCGAGCATTATAGTTACTGGACGTTTTTTCAACCTCAATCAATCGTATTAATTCGTGGCGCTCGGTTTGCGTTCGGCAATGGCCAAATCAACCAATCTCCATAAAAACATTAGGAGCCAAACATAACACAATACAAACAAAGATCGATATAGCGCTGACATAGGAGAATCGAACTTACCAACTACATAAGTTTATTCATAAGAAAAAGCAGTAAGTATTTTACTCAGACCAATCACATGGCTTTTCAACAATCTGCTGATCTGTTAGGGTGGACAGTCCCATATCTTTCCACATAAGTTTTTTTTTATAGTAACCCAAAAACAACCTTTTGGTTATTTTGGAAAGGCACTATATAACCTGTGCAAGCAAGTCCGCACAGGGACCTTCTCAGTCGGGTCCTGACTCTAGATCAGCCCGTTTGCACAGACTTCATTCGGTTCTCAAACGCCTTGGGTGAGCTACTCCAGATGCACGTACAACAAGAGTGGATGGACAGTCCCACTTCTTTCTACTTAAGTTTTAGTTACAATGACCCTCGCTATCTACCTCTTGGTTATACGGGAAGGACACTATGACCTGTGTGCTATAGGGACCTTGTAAGTTCAGGTCCTGACCTGTCCTGATCAGCACTGTTTCTACAGCGTTCCTATTGGGGGAAGAGCCGACCGCGACGCGCGGCTCGGTGAGCGCGGGCGCAGGAGGCTACCTTGCGACTGTGCGCTGCGTGAACCCACCGCCGCTCGCCGAACGCCGCGTCTCCGCCAGTGACGCCAACTGCGCCAGCGAGGTCGAACTACTCAACAGGTATTTTCTAAATATCCTGCGCAACAGCCTTCAACACTAAGAATTGCCTTGCATTCATTACAACATTCGCCACAGAAGATGCTATGTGTAACAAAACATTTATTTAAACTTCCTACTGCCATTGTAAACGCTGTTGTTGTTGTTGAGTGTGTGCGTTATTTATTATTAAGTCAATATGTTTTTATCGTAAACGTCAAAACTATTATCTGAATACAGTTTTGATAATTTGATAGTCAATATGTTACTCGATATGAACACTAATGATTTAATTTGATTAGTTTAATGTTATCACGTATAAAATATTCCATACAAAATTTCGATTAAACACGGTTTCGAACAAGTAATCTCTCGTAAGCAGTGTGTTACGGTCGGTACAAAGTAATGGTTTATTCCGCAGGCGGAGCAAGCCAGCGTTCCCGATGACATATACGGCACGCGCGACCCTCGAGATAGGTAGCGGCAGCGTGTGCTCAGGCCGCGCCACTACCACCACCACTGCTTCCAACCAGGTGCGTACCTTCTCCCGCACTCCTCGCACAACGCGCTCCCGTCGCCTACAACACCTGCCAGATTACCCCCCGGCCCTCACATTTGGGCCTCCAGAAAGACTCTACCAGAAAAAACTATACAATCCTCGCCGAAATTTTTTTATGAAACCAAGATTTTTGATTCATAGAGAAACAGACTGGACGACGGACGAAATTGTTAAAAACTTTGATACTTCCCCAAATGTAACGAGCACTGTTGATTCGGATGATGACGTCTTCTCAGCGGACAGTGAGGGCCAGTCTTCCGAAAAGATTCAAGACGATGACAAAAGGGATGATGAAGGATTGGAAGTACCGATTACGTCAGAGGACTTTGATCCAAAACAATGTAAACTATTGAGTGCCTTATTTCCTAAAACTGAATTTGATAAAGCTAGTAACAGTGGTGGTGGTAGTAATAATAATGGAGATAAAAAGACTGTACAAATGGAATGTAAAGAAAAATGCCCACGCAACTCGAAAAAAAATAAAAATAGGACCGACACCAAAAAACGTAAACCAGTTAAAGAGAATTTAGAAGGTGTTGCAGAAGAAGCATCAAGTAGTAAGTTAGACGGAGAAAAGGAGACAGAAATGTGGATGAAACAGGTTGGCAACTGGTACGAAAGTTTTTTAACTAATTATTCTGTCGATACGCTGGAAAACGACGCTGAATACGATGATCCATTAATTCATTACGAAACTCTTGTTGAATGTGCAGAATCTAAACATTGTGATCGGAGAAGTAGGAGTACTTGTCAACAAAACATGAAAAAATGTCAAAATAATAATATCAATTCGAAATCTCAATACATACATTCGTCCAAAAATGTCAGTACTAGTTTCAAAAATATTTCTAGTGTTCAAAATTGCTCATATTCAGAAACGAATTCACCTTTAAATTATCCTTTAACGAGCAACGATCATATGAAACGAAGGTCTATCAAAAACAACCAAAAAAGAAAAGAAGTCTGTTGCTACGACTATAAAAATCCCGATTATCAAAGTGATTATAGGACTACCGAAATACTCGATAAGTACAACAGATCTTTCGAGTATATAGATGATGACTTGACAGAATTAAAGAAACAGTGCAAAGCAAGTTTAGGGTACAATTTAGCACCAAGGCTTTCCATAAACTCGAGAAACGTGCGTAGCATGACAATAGGCAAGCCCGTATCTTTCGATAACGACAATGACACAAACAAATTGATTACAGATACCAATCAGAACAACTGTTATAGTAAATGTGACAATGCTTTGAAAGATTTTCGTGCAATGGAAAAAAATAATAGCCCTCCAAGAACAAGTACTCCGGATCCTTTGCAAGCCAGTACTATAATTAAGGAAAGTGACGATGAAACAATAATGGCGAATGATGTGGTTATTGATATTTGTTACGGATCTCAACTTAACTCTTTTAATGATTTTAAGGAAGAAACAAAACAAGAAACTAATAATAACGAACAAGAAGCAAAGAAAACTTGTCAGGCGGTGTCATTGTGTTACAAAGACAAATATAAAGCCAGAAACACTGAAGTTGACGTAAAGCCTATGTGTAGTTTCAACAAAGAAATAGAACTCACGGATTTTCAGTTAGCGCAAACTAATCAGGAAGATCTCCCAAATGAAATCGAAATGTTTGATGCTTTCCGATACAAGGACAAAAATCGTTCGTTCGAAGCCGAAAATGGTTTTGAACTTGTCGAAGTTTCTTCTAAACAAATGAACACAGATTCAAATCAAGTTGATTTAAAAGAAATTTCGTCTGAACATCGTCAACAAGAGAATATAAGGTATTTCGCCGACCAAGAAAAATTATTTCATGTTTTAGAGATTAGTAACGTCGATAATAGTGATAAAGAACATTCCTTTACTTTTTTAGACGATAAGAAATATAAAGTACAAACTTATTTAAGTACAAATCAACCTGTTGCAGAGCCAGTAGATGTTAAAGAAGTAAATTTAGATAATAGTAAAGTAATTTCTACCGAAACTGACCCAACTTGGCCGCCTAATGTAGAAGAATTAATAATAGAAGAGTTAACAAATGCTCAAGTAGAATCTCCTAAAGATGTGATTCAGATAAGCACAAGTGAAAAAGTGAGCGATGACCCATATGTAATATCCGAACTACCAAAGAACACTTATCTATTGCTAACACTCCCCAAACAATTGGTCTCGACTGCCAGTGCCCCAGTGCAGTTACAAATGGAAAATAATGTCGTAGTTACTGAAGAGAAATCAAAGCGGAAAAAAGACAAATCTGTAAACAGTAAAAATAAGGACACAGTGAAGAAAACCGCGCTCAGAGCACTTTTGTTAGAACAATTATTCAAGGTTGTAGGCAAAGGGACCGACGCGAACAATGAGGTAGGACTCCCAAATAACTAACTGAAGGACACTGGGTGGATCAAACCTTAATGTCCTCGCTAGTCTCGGAAACTTCTAAGTCGATCTCGTGTTTGTGTTAAAAGAAGTAACCGACGTAGATCTGTTTGGTTTCAACACGGTCGTCGCAAAGGTTTCTTATGTCTTTCGCTTCAGCTTATGTTTTATTTCGCAAGTTTTCATACCCAAATTAATTTACCACACCTATCCAGTGTCCTTCGCTTTCGTAATTTGATATCGACGCCATAGGTCGTGAGGAGTTATGATGGTGTTGTCTCCGCAGGTCGATTCCGCTATTCCATTCAGTTGCATCACAACACCAGAGGTTGTGGCCAGTTGCAACACCACATCTTCCACCAGCCAATCGACGGTCGCCGTGGACCATAAGGTAATAAACACGCCCCCCGTTTTTATCCCCAAATCAGCTCACCGACGTACCCGGTCACACCATTTGCACACTTTTTGATAGACGGAGCTTGTCGCGTAACATTCTCGAATGGAAGTTAACGCGTATTTAATAATCGTAATCGTGTGAGGTCAGTCGTAAACCACGAGGGTTTCTTGGTAACTAGTAGTAGTAGTCTATGGCACTGGAGATGCTCCCGGCGGGCGCTGACAGTGTGGGTTGTGCAGCCGCTGCAGCTGGCATCGAGCTACCTCGCCGTGGCAAGCCTGACGGGCCCGCCGCCCCCCGCGGTCGCGCAACCCCTTCCGGCTGCGCCGCGACCCGTCCCCGCGATGCCAGGACCTGCACCCACAGACCTGCACGTACGTACATCTGTACAATTGTACATATTAACTGTGAGGCCCGCTACATCGGTTTCAAAAGTAATTAGAGTAAAAAATCGGTAGTATCGATTTTTGCTTACAACGCCCCGACATACCGAACGCGGCGTCCGCGCTTGTATTTGAAATTGTTACGTGCCGAGCGGGTGTTGTCATCGGTGTCGTGTCGAAAAGTTTGTAAATGGTGTGCCGTGTGTATAGCGATGAATGACGCTTTCTTTGTCGTATATGCTAATTGAACACAGGGTATTTGACAAGTATCGAAAATGAAATCATCACAATTATGCCAAAATTTAATTTAAAATAAATCAAATGTGAAGAAAGATTGGAAATTTGTTAAAAAATTAAGTAGTTATTCGCAAAGGAATTGTGAGTCATATAAGCTATTGCTTGACCATTGGATTCAGATATCGTAAAATGAAATTCACGCCAGTCAAATACCCTATTCTGGCATGCAATGATTATTGAATGTAGGTACCTATTCCTGTTGGACCGTTTGTCAACCGGGTACCTATATTGCTGACTATAACGTTACACGCGTGTTGCTTCGCAGCCGCGCAGCGTGATCTCGAGCAGCTTCAACGGGCTGCCGATGCCGCTAACGCGGCCTAACTACGGCTCCACTGCGTCCACGGCGTCCGACGAATTTAAGGTACGTCTCGAATTTTGCTTTTTCATTATTGACGACGTAGCGTTTCGGAATTTAAATTTTACTTTGGCGTCTTTCTTGCAGAAATCTCTCGATGAAAACGGCAATTCAGTACAAGGATTCAGCTCGCCCCTCTCGGGGTCTAGTCAACACAAAAAACCGAGGAGGAAAAAGTCTTCCAAGAACGAAACAGTCATAACGTCTCACGAGATCAACGGCTACCAGGGAAATAAGGACCTCGAGGAGTTGCTGCGGTTCATCGAATCGAACGCGGAGGGCGGCCGCGCGCAGAAACTGCCGCGCGCGAAGCACAAGGACGACGCCGAAGACAAGGGCGGCAAGAAGCGGTCAGCCGAGCGGCGCAAGGACAAGGAGAGCAAGATGAAGCGCGCCACCTCCATGGAGGAGCTGTCGCGGACCAAGCTCGAGGACCTCACCGATAAGCCCAAGAAGGAGAGGCGCGCCGACGCGCCCGCCAAGGCCGAGCGCCGCAGCTGGGGCGACGACGCGCGCGACGCCTTCTACTTCCGCGACGAAGACGACGCGGCGCCGGCGCCCGACGCCGACTTCCAGACCGTGACCAAGAAGCGCAAGCCGCGGCGGCGCGAGCCCGAGCCCGACGCGGCGGCCGGGGACCCCCCGCGCCCCGCCC